GCGGTTCCTGGCAGCCTCGCTCAGGAGTCGCAGCTGGGCCCTGAGGGAAGAAGGAGGGAACAGGAGGCGACAGGAGGGGGGGAGGGCAAGGTGACGGGCACCCACGGGGCTCGGTTCCCCGAATTGTGTTTCCTAAAGGGATGGAGCTGATGGTGTTACACAGAATCACAGAACGTGAGGGGTTGGAAGGGACCTCTGTGGGTCATCTAGTCCAACCCCCCTGCCGAAGCAGGGTCACCTACAGCAGGCTGCACAGGACCTTGTCTAGGCGGGGCTTGAATATCTCCAGAGAAGGAGACTCCACAACCTCCCTGGGCAGCCTGTTCCAGTGCTCCGTCACCCTCAGAGGGAAGAAGTTCTTCCTCATGTTCAGACAGAACTTCCTTTGCTTCAGTTTGTGCCCATTGCCCCTTGTCCTGTCGCTGGGCACCACTGAAAAGAGTGTGGCCCCATCCTCCTGACACCCACCTTTCAGATATTTATAAGCATTTATAAGGTCCCCTCTCAGCCTTCTCTTCTTCAGGCCAGAGTGTTCTTGGTGTTTTCACTCAAAGCTAGTCTGGTGGCCTGTGGTCTTGGGGAGCCTGAAAGGAAAAAAGGGTTAAAATATGTTTGCATAGGGTTAAAATTTGTGTTTGGTCTTAGGAGGGTCACTATGGAAGTGACATGGCTAAAGTATTTATGTTCATGTGGTGGTTTGTTGTGTTAATTAATAAACATTGCAACTATAGAGAGCCTCTTCGCGTCTCGTTGATGCCTGTGTCAGACCTGGGTGGCTCCCAAGGAAAATATTCGGTCTTGGATGCTGAGACCTTCAGCCTGTTAACACAGGAAAATCTGCCTAAGGTCTGAGATTTAAAGCTGTTTTTCCACGTGGTGTATCACTAAGGGTCTGATTTCCCAAAAAGGCTTAAACTAGTGTCAGATCTGTACTGGAACTAAAAAGAGTGATTCTGAAATCAGTTGTGTATCTTGGCCTCTTGTGTTCTAGCACAGGAACCTGATTTTCTTGAAAAGTGGTTGAATACAGTGAAGTGCAAGTTGTTTGGTATACAGAGATATAGGTGCTCTGTCCGCAGATGGGGTGGCTTAAATCACAAAATTTTGTTTAAATATTATGCATGACAGTATTCTTGTTTACAGTTTTGCAGCCTTGATTAACTCTGCTTTTAGTTAGACACATACAGTCTTTAAAGAGAATGTATAATCTCTTGTCATTTGGTTGAAAATTTTAAAATTCTGTATGTGACTTTTCTGGTGTGTATATTAACTAATTTCTTGTCTTGGTGTTGGGTTGCCAACAGTTATTGCTGAAGTCTGTAGAGACAGTTTTGAATGCAAGTTAGGTTAATCTTTTCAGTGATGAAACTACATGCTACATCTAAAAATAACAAGCTTAAATGCAGGGGTTTTGTTCTTAAATACCATGTTACAGGAAATTTTGATTTGTTGTGCCACAAATACCTTTTACATTTTTAATTCATGGAAATGTGTAATGCATGTTTTTTAAAACTTTGTGTGTAGGAATGTAGATTTTCATCTTGGAGAAGACATCACTTTCGTGACAACTTCACTTAGTCCACTGAAAATGAAGCAAGATTCTACTAGAAACACTGCTTACACTGTGGATTGTGAAGACTATGTGCATGTGGTAAAATTCAATCCATTTGATACTGGAGATGCATGTTCCCTCATTGCATATGGTGGCAATAATTACGTAGTTGTTGGGACGTGCAGATTTCAGGTTAGTTTGCATTATTGTTGATTTTTATTAGTTGCTTCCTGACACACTTTGCCAGCATCTCTACTGCACAAAGACCCTGGTCACTTTCCCATTTCCTCCCCTCCCCATGTAATCAGGGGAAGGTTTTGTTTATTACGTTAACATGTCTGTGATGTTTGTTCTTCAAGAAAACATATAAATACAACTATACATATAAAATACACATGGGTATAAATTACCATCCTGCTGGTATAAAGTTCCTTTTGAACAGAATCATAGAATGGGTTGGGTTGGAAGAGACCTTAAAGATCATCCAGTTCCAACCCTGCCCCACCCCGCCATGGGTAGGGACATCTTCCACCAGACTAGGTTGCTCAAAGCCCCGTCCAGCCTGGCCTTGAACGCTTCCGGGGAAGGGGCACCCACAGCTTCTCTGGGCAACCTGTGCCAGTGCCTCACCACCCTCATAGTAAAGAATTTCATTTTTATATATAACCTAAATCTACCCTCTTTCAGTTTAAAACTGTTACTGCTTGTCTTATCACTGCAATCCCTGAACAGACTGCAAAGAAAACGGGAGTGCTCTACTGGAAGAGTAATCCCATTTTAGTATCACTGGCTAATGTTGGTGACTGCTGTCTGAGAACTTAAGCAAGCAACTTTGGAAACGTGTGACTTAGTATTTGCTGTATATTGTTATTTATCGTTACAGGGTGATTGGCTCCTTTTTTGCACCATTATATTATGTTCTATGTACATTTGCTATTTAGATTAAATTAGCTTCTAAAGCTGTCAGCTGGCCTGCGAAACAGCAAAAATTACAGCTATTTTGAACTTTACAACTAGAGTGTCGGTGTTAATTTTATAGATATTTCTTTCAAGGAAGGACTGTAGAAAGAATTACCTAATGTTATTTTTTTGCTTTAATTTTTTTTATAGGATCTTTTCTCATAGAAACAGTAAAATATGTTTTCTTATCTTGAAATTATTTAGAGTCATCATATTATGTAAAATATTGTGTACTGTACAAAATTTTTCACTAGGGTTTTCTTTGCCAAGATGCTTGAAAATCAATAGGAGACAACTGTTATCTTTGGAATCTTTTAAATCTTTTTTTCTTCAACTCTCTTCTCTATTATACAATATTATTTTTGTACTTTATCTAGTATGAATAACAGCATAACTGGTCTTTTTATTATTAATATTCCCCAAAGTCTTAATGTTGGAAGTTTCCTGAAAAGCACCTTGTGCCAACCATAAAAACCCATTGTCATCTGTATTGCTGTCTTGTTTCTGGTGTAGGCCTTGAAAAGAAACTAATTAAAATTTTGGCAACCACTGGTGCAAGGTAGTTTTTCTATAATTTTCATATCCTCCCTTCCCTTCAACATGTGGAGTCACTGAGTATTTCAAAGTTGTGGAAGAAAATGCTATTCTTGCTCCTTGCTTCAAGAAGCATTGAAAAACTGGATAATTTCATGCTTCGTTAGCTAGATTCTTCCTAGCTTTTACGTTGTGCAGAGGGCATACAGAGAGGTTCTTTACCTTAAAGCAGAATCGTGACATAGAGAAAATTTTGTAGAAGTATCCTTTGAGGTGATTCATTAGATGTTTTGAAAACTTTTTAAAGATTTTTAGAGATCAGTTGATAGATGGAGTCCACAACCCCAACACTTGTTTCATCCTTCCCACCACCCAGTGTGCTCACCAGTGGGAAGAATAGACAAGTTAGTAATTTTGGTCATGTTAGATAACAGAAGATACCTATCTAGCTCCTGCTGTTTGAAGAATGTTGTTCTGGAAGTGCCAGCATTTTTCCATAGTGTAAAAACAACTTGGAGAGAAGACAGCTTAAATGGTATGCTTGCTTTTGTTCCCATTGTTTCTTCTCATTGCAGTAT